GGCCTCATCCCCTTCAAACGGAGGTGACTTCTGGGGCTCCCCTCTCTTGGGGTCCCAGAACCTCGTCCAGGAGTATTAAATAAAGCCACGTGGTTTGGCCCCCACTCTTTCTCTCTGTCTGTCTTTTCGCCACCGCCGAAAAACCTTACAAGTGGGTGGACTCAGAGTGCTGTGGAAGGTTTAAACTGCTGGATCAAAGTGAAAGACATATAACCTAGACAACATCTAGGTAAAGTGACTTAAAGCAGCTGTGAGGACCTTAACTAACCAAACTGGAATAGGCAGGCAGGGAATTGGGAAGGAAGCAAGCCATGAAAAGGTACCTGAAGACTTGTGCTAATTTAAAAGTGCAAGAGTGCTATTACATTGGGATGAGACAGTTGTGGTTCAGTAAAGGTCTTTGCTGCTTTCTTGGAAAGCTTAAGGGTTAGGGTTCAGGTTCAGGTTCGGGTTAATTTAAGATTGCAGAGGCATTCCTAGGGTTTCCAGTAGTGCTGAAATTAGGGTGAGGGAAGTGAGGCAGGGTAGTGCAAGTATAGGGTTGGATCATGTCTTTATTTAGGATTTTGATACTTCATTCATCACAGATTTTTTTGCACCAATTTCTTTTTTTAGTATTGGATTAAAATATTTAGATGACTGAGGTTTTGGCGCCCCCTTAAATATTGCACCCAAGGGGAGTGCCTCACTTGTTTCACCATAGGTCCAGCTCTGTTCCAATTTTGTAATCATTTCTTTCTGATTTTGATGTTGGACCATCTCATGAGATGGTAAAAGGCATTAAAAAGAGATAGCACCATTGGGGATGCAGGGGAAGAAACAAATCTCTCTCTCTCTCCCTTAATAGAATTTTTTTTTTTAGAGTAGTTTTAGGTTCACAGCAAAATTGAGAGGAAGGCTAAAAGGTTTCCCAGATACTTACTACCCTTGTATAGGCATAGCCTCCTCCATTATCACCATCCCCCCAGGGTGGTACCTTTGTTACAACTGATGAACCTACATGGACACATCATTACTACCCAAAGACTAGTTTACATTATGGTTCACTCTTGGCATTGTACATTCTATAGGTTTGGACAGATGTATAAGATGTATAACGACATGTATCCACTATTATAGCATCATACAGAGTAGTGGCGCCGCCCTAATAATCCACATCATTTTTTCAATGCTTCCCTGATCAAACTTCAGATAGCTTTGTGCACTACAAAGCTTTGTGTTAATAAGAGAAGCCATTTCCTGACAGATGAATAAAAAGATTGACCAGAACATTCAGAGCCTAGCTGGGGTTAGATAAATTGAATTTTTAGTAGTAAGTACTAAATAGCATAATTATAGGACTCTTGCCAGAAAGTTAAGGATTAGCAAAGGCTATATAGAAGAACTAGGGAGGAAGTAACCTAGGATGTTGGCCATAGTCTCCACCCATCCCTCCCCCTTTGTTCTTTCAGAAAGCCCTTGCTAATCCTTAACTTAGGGTTAACCTAAAAAATGTTTTGCTTTTCTTATTTACATGCTCCTGACAATATGGCTAAGCTATATACTGGTACATAGGACATTGCCTGGAACATGGTAGGTACTCCATAAGTATTTGTTGAATAAATGAAAGCTCATTCACTGAATTTATAAGACATTAAAAGTCATTTTGGAGGACAAACAAGAAAACCAAGGATCAAAACCTTTTTTTCCTGACTATCCCTACTAAAGGAAGTATCAGGTCATCATCATTAATTTATTACCTCTATTATGTATCTTTGTTACCTCCCGGTGTCCTATTGCTGTAATTGTCTATTATAGGTAATAGTTAAGAGATGTTGCTACTTTGAAATTTGCTAATTGAACATCTAAGGACATAAAATTCTATGAATAAAATATTTAATTAAATAGGTGACAGACTATTCCTGTGAAGATAACTTCCTCTTGGGTAGCTTCAACATAGATGGAAATAAAAATTAGGCTTGGTTAATTTCTAAGCTTTCAGAACTTCAAGGTTGTCTGAAGGAGAACATTAATAAGAGTTAATAAGAGGCCACTCTCATTTGAATACAAAACGTCCATAATGTATGTAAAAGGCATAAAGAGTTCAGTGGCCGGCAGCAACCTCCTGGGTTAGGAGAGCAATCTCAGTTCTGACTGTGGGTCATCATCCTTCAAGACATAAGAAGGGGGCAGAGCCAGGAGACTTTCATTTTTAGCTAATGGGTTCTGTCAATTTAGAATGAATTCAATTATTGTTCTAATTTGGTGTTGGACTTTAAAAAGTATTGCTCTTAACTCGGTTGTTCTGTTGTGTAATTTTTATGCACTCAACAACTTTTGAGTAGTTAACAAGCAGAAGTGGTAGAACTGCTACCCGTAAGCCCTTGTCCATGCTCAGTATGGGGTCATGTTTACCGAAGTGCTGGCCTCACACCTCCTCCTCTGATAGCTTCCCAAATGTTGGATATTTACGTTTTTAACGTGTACAGACAAAACTCATTTGAAACTCTTCATTTGGAAGACATCTAATCTTCATTTAGAAAATTCTGTTTCCAAGTTTTTTTAGTAGACAGTTACAAGATTTTTTAATAGGGAACAGAATTACATAATTTTTTGGTTGTAAAAATGATATAATAATGGAAGCATTTTTTCATATCTGTTTTCAAAATGCCTTCTCTTTCAAAAGGGAGTTCTTTTCTCATTCATTTTTTTTTCAAACATCACCTTTGCTTTGATGTCACCAATCAATTTAATAAATTTTTTTTTAAATAAGTGCTATAGTCAGGTATGATTAGATAGAACTGCTTCAGCCTTGTAAAGTGGCCCCAAAACCTTGTGCTGCTAATAAAAGAAGATTTATCTCTGCCATGTCCTTTTCATTTATCTGTGCTTGCTGTATTATTTCTATCTTTGAGATATCTTTGCAGGAATTTTTTTTTTTTTTTTTTTTTTTTTAGAATGCTCACGATATGTGATGCAGGAATATTTTAGGGGCCTCTTGTATATTTTATGAGAACTAGTTTAATTAAAGCTAGATGATACAATCTATAAAGCCATTCATTGGGGCACACATAAACTGAACTTTGCATTCCCTGAAAACAGGCAAGTATCTGAGAACACCAGGTTAATCTCCCCCCACAACTAATTCTATACTTTCCTCAGGATTCTTCCCATACTAGACCTGATGTGACCATCTGATAGGCAGATGAGATTAGAGTGCCAGAGCCAATCTCCATATTATTTTTTTCACCCTCCATCTTGGTGTCATTTGTGGATCCATCCCAGTGCAACCAAAGAAATTCCAACTATGAATCTGCAGAAATAGTTAGGTCCTTCAAATTCTCCAGAGTGAAGCAACATCACGACAAACAAACCCTCCTGTCCCTAATATTGATATCCTCTCATAACGAAACTTTGACATATTATTCTGCTACTAAAACCTTCATATCTTTACTCTGCCTTACTCTAAACACTCCCCCTATATAGGAGTGGATGGTAGGGAATGAGGACTCCAGGAGGAGGAGGAAGGAAATCTTTCCATAGCACATTAACAGGCTCTAACATGTGTTCCACATTAAGTTGTCACAGTGATGTGCCATTGATCTGTTTTTGTGCTCTCCTTGGATGTTAGGTCCCACATAGCTTGCAGCATGCAAAGAACCAAATTCAGCCTGTAAGGCCTCCACTAGCCCTTATACTCCATCATTCTATGAATCTGGGTCCTGGGTGAAAGCCACCTATATTGGTTGGCAGTGCCGTTCCTGGGTGATGTGCAGATATCCGGAGTCCTCACTTGCCCTCATGTGAACATGCCTCCCCCCATCTCTGGTGAAACACAACAATAGCTTCAAAAGATGAGACTGAAAAGGGATATTCATGAGAATTAGAAACAAATCACTGCAGGGAACTAACAACATAGAAATACTTCAAACTGTGAGGAATGGAAGCAACAGTTCCTGTTGTAATGTACACAATGGACACAGCATGTGGGCAGCTATAAAAAAACACTGGAGGGAAAAAATGTGTCTATGAAAAACAACTTAAAAAGACATACAGAAAGCTCAAATTCCTCATGTGCAGAGACTGTAACCACCACAGAAACGTCTCTGGGGTCAAGAGGGTGAGTCCATGGCACAAGTTTAAAGTTTGAATCCAGAGTAAGTCTTTGCCAGGCTCCATCCACCTCACAGTGCCCATACATGACCTCTCAGAGCAGCCAAAGGTCTTCCTGCTTCCATCAACCCACAAGAGCCAAATGGACAAGGTTATTGAGTTTACCATGTCTATTCCCAAACCACTTAATTTCATAAAACTGGATGAGGAAGATGAGAAATCTAGATTTGGTCCTCAATCTAAAATGAAGTGTTTATTTCTAACCTAGTGTTTTAAAACAGCTCAAAGTAACTTGTGACTTGTTATGCACATACATGATTAATAAATCATACGAAATCATCACCATATTACTCTTTAAATATAAACCTACTGTAGCATCTGAAGGCAAGATTGCTCTGAGCAAAGAGTAAAAGTATAAGCCTCTACAATCATCATTTAATATTATGTATGACGAAAAGGGATTGTTTTTTATAAGGATCACATTCCTCTGGGACAACAAAGAAAATTTTTAGAAAATCATATTTAATAGATAGGTAGATCTGACAGTAACACAGAACTCTCTTTGCTATTGAAGGAATAACTTTTCCTTATTGGGTAACTAACAAGAAACTCATTACACTCCATCTGTTTTATAATCATTATCCCTAGATTATAAAGTCCAAGGGCAATGACTGCACGTTTTGTTTAATGACCTTCCCCAGATGGTATAGTATTTAATAAGCAGGGAGTTTTTGTGTCACTTAGGGTGCCTTCATCTAGAATTAACAGAAAACTCATCTCAAACTGCTCACAGAGATATGTATTATTTTATTGATATATATTGAGTAGTTCTGAGTTAGGGGAAGTTATCAGGTAGCTCGATCACATTGTCAAAGACCCAAGTTCTTCCCATCCTTTTCTTGTACTACCTTTGGAATGTCAGCTTTTGCTTAGAGGCCAGCCTTGCTCCTGGTTCTAAGATGGCTGCCAAATCCTAGGAATCATATGCAGGTATGTCAAAGTTGGATGGATAAGGTGGCCATCTCTTCCCATTCTTCTCTTTCTAAAAGAAAGAACCACATTCCAGAATGCATTATTTTCTTTATGACCACTGTTAAACCATCACTGGTAAGGCAAATATAACCTAATGATTAATTTAGACCAAGCAAGATTTAATTTTGAGGCTCATAAGGGAAAAGATGGGCAACTATTTCAGTTAAGAATAAATTTGATGTGCACCATCTAGGGGATGGTCATGATGGGGACTCAGACTTTTGGGGGGAGGGGGGAAAATGGGCATTTCTTGAAACCTTAAAATCTGTACCCCCATAATATGCTGAAATAAAAAAAAAAAAAAGAATAAATTTGATTGTGTGTAACAGAGATCCAAAGTCATGGAGGTTTAAATAAGAAAAAACTACCCACATAAAAATATGTTATCTATTGCCACTCAATGTCTTAAAACAATAAACCTTTATTTAGCTTATGAAGCCAAAGGTCAACTAAGTGGTTCTTCTGGTCTTGGCTGGATTTATTCTGTGCATTGCAATGAGTGGTTGAGACATCCAGAGGTTAGACTTATTTAAGGTGGGTGGGTCTCCTCATATATTGACTGAGAGATATAGGCTGACTTAGCTCTTTATCCCACATTGTCTCTCAACTTGAAATCGACTAGCCTGGGCTTACTCCTACCTCAGAGGCAAATGTCTAGATTACAGGGGTCCTCAAACTTTTTAAGCAGGGGGCCAGTTCACTGTCCCTCAGACCGTTGGTGGGCCGGACTATAGTTTTAAAAAAACTATGAACAAATTCCTATGCACACTGCACATATCTTATTTTGAAGTAAAAAAACATCCGTGGGTCATAGTTTGAGGACGCCTGGTCTAGAAGAACAAGCAAAGTTTCCTATTATTGCATAACAAATCTCCCCGAAATTTAATGGTCTAAAACAACAATCAGTTACTGAACTTATATGTCTACAAGTTGGTAATTTATGCTGGTCTCCCCTGGGATCCTTCATGTCTATATGCAGCTGTGTTATAACTAGGTAACTGTGCTATGGGGCTTGGCTGGCTGTCAGCTTGGACCCTTAAGCTCTCCTCTACATGGTCTCTTATCCACCAGCAGGATAGGATGCTTAAGATCAAGACATGAAACTGGCACATGGCCACTTCTGCTACATCCCTTTGGCCAGAGCAAGTCACAAGTCCAGCCCAGGTGTGAGGGAGGAAGATCCACTTCTTGATGAGCATAGAAGCAAAGTCAAGTTGCAAGGATCATGAACTCAGGGAGGGGAATAGTTGGGATTGTTTTTTGCAAACTAATCCACCACAGCAATGACTCTACTCCTTTCAGCTTACTGCTCTGCTGTTTTTAGGGTGGGATGCTTGTCTTCTTTGTCCAAGATAGTAGTCACTGCATCCACAATCTGGGATGCAGTTTGAGAAAAGAAATAAGATGTTGGGTGAACAGCATGCTAGCTGTCTTTTAAGGAACATGTTTAGAAGCTACTGAGTCACTCTTTCAGTTGGTCAGAACCTAGTCTTATGGCCACACATGGAAGTCTGGGGAATGCAGTCCATTTTCTGGGTGCCCAAGGGTGTTAAAAAAAATTCTATTCATATGGAAGAAAGAAATAGGTGTTATTATAGGAAAATTGTCAGTCTGCCACAGCATCCAAAATAGGTCAAGTAAGGGAGAAGGGGTTGGGGGTTAGACACAGATAGTCCAACCAACATTATCTGATACATGGTCCTGTAAATGATTTTCATTTATAAAAATCCTTTGAATAGAAAGTTTTTCTAACAAACTACCCCCACCATGATTAGAAAAAGAAACCCTCTTCCTTCCTCCCTCTGTCCTTCCCTCCCTTCCTTCCTTTCTTCTTTCCTTACTTCCTTCCTCTTTCTTTCTTTCTCTTTCTTTTTCTTTCTTTCTTTCTTTCTTTCTTCCTTCCTTCCTTCCTTCCTTCCTTCCTTCCTTCCTTCCTTCCTTCCTTCCTTCCTTCCTTCCTTCCTTCCTTCCTTCTTTTTTTTCTTTTCTTTTTTCTTCTTCCTTCCTTCTTTTCTTTTCTTTCTTTCCCCCCCAGCAAGCTAAGACATTTTATGACTTCCATTTTTCTTTCTCTACGGAGATGGGAGCTTCCCTGCTTACTAAACCAGGCACAATAAAGAACCCCTTTCTACTCTGCTCCAGCTCAGCTTGTACCTGGATGGATGGTAGAATGTCCCAGACATCACTATAGCCCACGTTGAAGAAGAAAGAGGCTTCTTACGTTATTTCTAAACCAGTCTGATAAAACTTGTCAAGAATCATATTGTCAGAATTTGTTCTTGAATGCCCTTATTCTTTCTAGATTATTGAACCATAATATGTCTTTGGGGGACAGAGAGAAACTCTGAAATGAGAGGATGTGCTTCTTAGGATTTTTTCATTGCATCAGAAATCAAGTTTGGTTAATTTAAACAGTAAAAGGAATTTGTTGGAAGGGATAAGAGTTGCTCATAAAACCGATGAGAAGGCTGGAAAACAAAGACTGGGCAAGACCCAAGATACTAAGATGAAGCTGAGATTAGCCTGTTATGGCTGCTTGGGAGTTGGCCTCTGGTGCTATTGCCTCGGGAGACTTTCTACCTCAGTACTGGCTTCTAGACTCCACAACAGCCACCTGAAAACCCCTTTACAGACCCTATTCCTTCAAGTCAGTTGTTTAAGACCCAAAGTTCCAGGCAGAAGCATCTCATTGGCCACTGTTAGGTCAAATGCTCATGCTATGTTTGCCAGGGCAATGAAAAGAGAAAATATCTGTCTCTCCCTCAGTTTTTATAAAAATAATTTAAGCTGTTTCCCATCTGCCTGTAGATTCTTCTCAGATAAAAATGATGTTAGGAATCCAGTTAGGCTGGGGCAGGAGGATAGCTTGAGCCCCAGAATTTGAGGCTAAAGTGAGCTATAATCATGCCACTGCACTCTAGCCTGAGTGAGAAAGAGAGAGAGAGAGATACCTTGTCTCTAAATAAATACATTTTGATAACTGTTTAATGTAATTTATACTCTTTGAAATTCTATACATTTTATGTTTTTCAAAATGTATTCCAAGAAGCAGTTTATAGGCTCAGACTGTCAAAGTGGCTCCTGGCACACAACAAAAAAAGTAAGAATTCCCTATTCTATGCAAAGTACTTCACATAAACTGTTTAATCATTACAATAACCCTGTGAGTTAGATATTATTATTCACCATGGTACAGATTATGACTCTGGGCCTTAAAGAGATTAGCAACATGCCCAAAATCACACAGCTGAAAGGTGGCAAGGTTAGGATTAGATAGTATGACTCTAAAGCCTGTGCCTTAATCACATAATATAGCACATTTTCTGGGTATTGTGAGAATTGTGTGCAAATTATTATTTTATGCACTATAATTGGTTTATTTTCTGGCATGAAATGAGAGTTCAAAAATATATTTAGCATCAGTATCAATAGTGATTCTAGTTATTAGTAAGACTTAACATTACATTTTCTGATTACAGAAGTAACGTAGGGATAAAGTACTAGAACAAAGCAGAATCGCAGAATTTTCTTCCTCTCATATCTAATGAAATGAATTAAAAAGTAGTCTAAACACCAGGCAGCAAATATTAATTTCCTATGATGCAACAGATATTATTCTAGGTTCTAGGGCTACAGCAATGAAACAAAACAAAGTTCCTGCTCTCATTTAACAGCAGTCCGAAATTCACCCAGCAGCAAGCAAACATGGAAGGGGAAACAGCTTATGGCACAAACTGGCTTTCCATGAGAGAAGATCCTGGTGTGATGAGGCACAGACTCCAAACCCTGCCTCCCTGACCCTGTCCCAGAGGTAGTACTAAGCATAGAGGATGCGAGGGAAACCCCTGAAGTTTCTCCTTAAAAGGTTACTAGAAGGTTGAGTAGAAGGGTCTAGTAAGCTCAAGAAACAATCTCATGAATTTAGCTTCCATAGGACCTTTGCAGAGGCCAGAAGTGGCACTGGGTTTCCCTTTTCTAGGGCACTAAAACTGTCTTGAGTTGGGGGATTCACAGCTTCATTCATTTGATCAATATTTTAAAAACACAGATCTGAATGATAAGAAGAAGTCATCCATTCTAGGATCAGCTAGCAGAGGTTTTAGGCTTAGGAAACAGGCATAAATTTGGAGGGTGTTATGGTTAGTTTTACATGTCAGCTTGGTTAGGCTGTAGCACCCCGTTACTTAATCAAACACGAATCTAGGTGTTGCTGTGCTTTGATATTTTATAGATGGATGTGATTAGCATCTATAATCAGTTGACTTTAAATGAAGAGAGTACCCACTATAATGTGGGTGAGTGGGCCTCATCAAATTAGTTGGAAATTCTTAAGAGCAGAAACAGGTTTCCCAGAGAAGAAATTCTGTCAAAAGACTACAGCATTGACAACTCTTGCTTAAGTTTCCAACCTGCCAGCCTGCCATGTGGATTTTGGACTTGTCAGCTGCACATTTCCATGAGCCCATTCCTCAAAACAAATCTCTTTCTCTCTCTATTGATTGATCAACCAATAGATAGAAATATATAGAAAAATATCTATATAGATACATAATATACATCTAGATGTAGAGATATAGATATGCAGAGATAGATAAATTCATGTACTTATATTTTATATAATTTATTAATATAAAAATTAATACATTTTATATTTATATAAATAGAGTTTTCTCTATATATATAGTTCACAGAGAAAGAGAGAGAGAGTGAGAGAAATCTCTTTCAGCACCATTTCAGCATCCCATTTCAAATCTCACTGTAGCAACTGCTTTATGAAGAACCCAGCCTGCAGAAGATATATATCATATGGATTCTGTTTCTCTGGAGAATACTGACTGATGCAGAGTGTTTGTGGACAGAAAGAAGACCAGAATTACTGGAGCCCAGTGGACGTGGAGTGAGGAGGGGTAGATGGGTGGGAGAGAGATATGCAATGAGGACAAAGAGGCAGGCTATCTTAGGCCTTGTAATTTCACAAAGCCAGAATCTACAGAAGAGATGACAAA